AAAAGTATTGAAATGAAATGACATTCTTTTGAATTTTATCGTAATATCGATAAAATTCAATTTAGATGAGTAGATTTAATTAATAATTTCATTCTTTTCGTCAGATATATAGTTCGAATTATTTCAATATAATGGTAAGTCGTATGTAGTAGAATTCAAAAATTAGTCACCAATAGTCTATAAGTAAAAATTCTTTAAATCATATACATAATTTTCGGTCGCTAACAAAATATTGAAGAAAATCGAAAACAATTGATTAGAATCAAAATTAAATATTCTTTCGAAATGCATATTGAGAAACTGAAGAATGTTTTACTGGGAACTAAACATTAATGCAGAGTTATAATTTTTGGATCATTATTAATTGGTTAATTAGAATGACTTCAAAAATTATTAATTTTTTTTTTTACAGTTAGGATTTTTACAAATATCTAGGAAGAAAATTATGCTATAGTCATTTGTATGTGTTAGTTTTCTCAAAGATATATATGCGATATTGCGATATATAATACGCAAAAAAAGAGTTATTTATCCATCAATTGACTACTATACTCCAAATCTTGAATTTTCTTAAACACGTGAAGAGTTTGATAAGACTAGGAAAATTTTAAAATGGTTTACGCTCATTGATCTCTGGAGCCGAATCATGATCGCTGTACTAAGTTTTCGATCTGAAATTCCATCCACAAACACAACGAATGGCTGATAGAATATTTTAAAAGTTTCAGTCGAGAAGAATGTTCCTTGCTTCAGTTATTGAACTTCCAAGAAATGGTCGTTTGCCACAAAAATCGAGTTTATAGTAATATTCAATATCTCGCCAAAGAAATACTGTTTTCGGCTGATACTTTCAGGGCATGCTACTATTTATTTGACTTGTTTTTGCATGAAAATTTAGTAGAACGATCATTACTCTGCTCCAGAGACCCATAGACATGAGTCCTTTAAGGACTTTTCTAATCTTGCCAAGATCTCCTTGTCAGCCGAACATGAGTTCAAACGGTTCGTGTCGTTCTCTTGTACGCCTTTTGAAACAAATCTAATGTTTCTTCTTGAGCGATAATTCAACACTATATTTCATTTCTACTAAAATATATATGAAATAAGTTAAGCTTAAGTAAAATATTGTGAATGAACAGAAGAAGAATAAAACTAATAGTTCCTGAAATAACACTGTTCGGGAATTTTAGTAGAAGCAAGCAAACTTGTTCTCAACCAGATATTATCAGAGAAAGGAGCATATCTATAAAAAAGGTCGACCGATCCAGAACGGTTACAATTCTGCTTTGCCTTAGGTCAAAAATAAAATGATATCTCTACAGAATTTTGTGCTTAGTGTATTTTTTTGTATTTTGATTGGAACTATTGAAATCATAAGTGAGTCTTTTTTATGTATCGGTTTGTAGACCGAAGTTTCCTATGCAAAATATCCAACTTACTTTGTGTATTCTGCATTCCTTGATACAAAGATCTGAATCTATAACATTTAAAATACAAATTGCTGTCTTTGAATCTTTCGAATATTAACTTATTGTAGATCATTATTTTATAGAAAGATAAATGTTCGAAGAAGAAAGGGAGTTAATACTATACTAAAATATTATCTAGGATAGTTACGAATAGTCAGAAGAAAGGTTCTTCATATAAAATGAGAAAACCTATCAAATTCCGTTTTTCACTAATTACTTTTCATTATTTCGTATGACTTGTAAATGACGGAATATTGAACAAATATATTATTCTCAGATATTTCTACACATAGGATGGATAATTTATTTAATTATAAGGTTAAAGATAAAGATATTATAGCAAATAACGGGTGTGAACTGAACTTTTTTCTAAATGATCCAACATGATTGTATATAAAAAATAAAACCAAAAAAATAGAAACAAAAAGTTTGTTCAACAATCACTGTGACCATGTATTACTAACAACTTTCGATCAAGAATTCTCCACATAGCCATCTATTTCTTTTGGCTACTGAGTAATTGTTAAAGTGCTTCAAAGAACAATGAAATGTACTTGAACTAATACCATGTACGATGCAAAGATGAGAACAATTCGCATTTTTTTTTGGAACTGAACTGATCTCATCTCTCATAGGAAGGATAAAATCACTTTTACAACTATTCGAAAGAAGTCTATTCTTTAGATATTATTCAGAATGATAACCAATTGTAGAGATATTAAGAATATACTGAGAGGATCATTTATTCTAGTACATCAGTTAGCTTAGGAGTTAATAAAGTTTTATCAGAACTTTATTGAATACTTTGATATGTAATATCAGTCGGAAACAATAGTTTATTTGTTTTCTTTCTTGTTGAATTCATATTAAACGAATTTAATTATTGTTTTGTTCAATAATTGATAGAGTCGGTCAATAAATGTACGTTTAATAGAAATTTTCTTTATTTTATATTCAGAAAAAAAGTATTACGTTATATTAATGTATTTATCATTCGTCCGTTGATCCATACTAAAATATATTCATAGATATATTTGATAATAAAGAATAATTATTAAAAAACAAGACTAGATCTAACGTAAGTCATTAAGAAGGACTGTTATGTCAAACTTGACATTTATTGATTAGAAATAGGGTAAGTTATTTCATACACTTTTCAAGTTATAAAAAGAAAGTATGACGTGAAAGAGCTTTTTTTTCTTGATTGATTTATTAGCAATTCGAAGTTTCATTATCCCATAGAAACAACTACCAAGTTTGATAGTTAGTCTTCGTTTCGAAAGATCATTCAAGTCATGAATAGTTGTGTTCAGAAGTTTAGTCTATTTGTAGACTTGTAAGAAACTGAAGCATTTTATTTTATTTTTGATTTTATTATTGGGACATCAATACAATAGACAGTTCGTTAGAATGACATATATTAATATCAATTGATTCTTATTCTTACAAACTATTTTTATTCTCTAGTATAGTAATATTTCAATGCATTGTCTCTTAGATTTGTTATTTATTCAGTTTATGTTATGTTACTTGAACTGCACAAATATACTGAGATGAATTTGTGACTAACTTAGTACCAGAATATAACTAAGTGTTCAATAATTTAGCTCACATGAAAAGAACTGATAAACGTATATTCTTTATTCAATTTTTGCAATTCATTGAACTGGAAGTTTTTGACATGCTTACCGCCAGAAGCTTTCTGTTAAGATCTGCTTATCAATGTAATTTGTTATCTACGATTAACAGCATTAAATAGATGATGAAGTCTTGCTATCAAAAGAATGTTTAGTCATGTTCTCATAACACATATAGAGGCATTACTTCAAATACATCAAAATAATCTATCTTTCTTCTTTTTTCTTCTTATTACTAAATCATCAAATAGTGTTTTATGTTTAGCTCAACTGCTTGAAATATTTGTTTTTTCCTTTCGCAAGATGCTTAAATCATTCTATTTGAATCCTATATTACAATTATTGAGTAAATAGAGTATACTTGTTTTGTTCCTAGTAATATCTTAATAGTTATCAAACATTTAGTAATTATGCATCTCATCAGCATTGATATTATCATCATCTGATAATATTTCTGGTCAATTTATGCCAAACAAATAGTCATAATGATGTTTCATTTCAGATAAAAATAACAAACTATTGACTTATAATGCAAGAGGTATAGAATGTATATGAAGTATTTTTTGAATTTAACAAAAAAAAACCTTTTTTTTTTTAGTTTTCAATCGATGAACAAGAAGAAGAGAAAATGTTACAACATAATTCTCCAACATTATCTAGTAATGATGATTTAAAAGAACTATGTCTTTTACTTGATGCTGAACGTAATAAAATGCATGAGTTAGCTGAACAATGGAAACTATTTGGTACAAGTACAATACATAAACTTGAATGTCAAATAATTGATTATCAAGAAAAATTAAATGAACTTGAACAAAGACAAATATTACTCTTAAAAGAAAATGAATCACTTAAATCTTATATTAATCAAATGATGATAACAACAAATTCAAATGAAAACTCTTTAAAAGATGTATAAATTCTAAAACAAAAATTTCATTGAGTTTATTTTTGTTCTTTCTAATAAAATGCTTTACTTTTTTGTTTTGTTTTATAGAAAAAAATTCAACAAAATTCTTCAACTCAAACACATTTTGAGAAACATGAATCATCACATCATTTATGTTTTCATCGACCTAAACCAATTTATGATCGTTTATCACGAACAACAACAACAACAGCAGCAACAGTTCAACCAAAAATTTCAATTAATAAATTAACACGTCAAATGTCAATTGATGATCCACTACAACAACAAATTTCTATTCAAAATATGTTTGATGCAATTAAAGTAAATAATGAAATAAAAGAAAAATTTCTTATTATAATTTTTTTTCTATAAAGACAGCTGAAGTTTATGAATCAATTGAAGATATGATTGGAGATCATGATGAATCAGAAAAAAAATTACTCAAAGAATTTTGTAATGTAAGTTTAAAGTGTATTTAAATAGTGCAATAAAAAAAGCATGACCTTTCTATAAATGGTTACATTTTATTCTCGATGAATGAGACAGGAAGAGACGTCGATTTTTTTCCTTTCACTTCCTATACAAATATTTGCTTTTTAATTTATATTGACTTTTAAATTTTTTTCTAATGACTAATATAGCTTTTACAACTTGTCTATTATAAGTGTTGACTGACAAAGATATATTATTTGCCCGTAAACTATAACACACAAAAGAAAATCATTGTCTCCTAGATAGTAATAATAAATGATTAGAATACTTTTCTTGAATAAAGAAAAATGAACCTATGGTTTAACATTGATTATATATATGATGCGCATCCTTTTTTTTTTCTCTTTTTTAGCTCATTTGGAAATACCTCGAAGATCGATCAAAGCCGAAAAGCAGTTGTTTATTATAAAACAATTCACGACCTGTTTTTTTTTAGTTGTCAGATAGCACATAAAATTCAATTGATTTTTTTTTGACATTTGTTTGAAATTTTTAAAATAAAAAATTATTCATATGCATATATCTATACAATAAACTAAATGGAAATAGTATACAAATACACATAGGTACAGAATGAGATGATGATGATATGATCGTATATTGATCATTTGATGTTTTACTTTCAATACTCTTTGTTTCTTGAGTATTTATCTCTGAAAGTGTGGTAGGTGTTGTTATTGTTGTGGTTGTCGTTATTGTGGTTGCTGTTGTCATGATAGTAGTAATAGAAGTGATTGAATTAATTATACTAGAACGGAACGATGATGAGGATGATGATGATGATGATGATTGAAAATGTTGTTGATTATCACTTTCCATATCCATATCTTCATCTTCGAGATAATCTTCATCATCAAAATCATTTAATTCATTTGCTTTTCTCATATCATTACGTAAATCATATATAGCTTGTTCTGTTAAAGGTAAATTATCTTGTGAACGTAAAACGAATGATGGAAATATCTGATAAAAATCAAAGAGAATTCATTAAAGATTATATAAGAAACTTTTTTTTATTGTCCTTACGTTAGCTGCAAAAAACGATGATGATGATAATGATGATGTATTAATATTTTCATGCATTTGACACTGAATTAATCTATAATAGATAATAATAAATGATTTTGTATGTGAATTTGTTTTTTCAAAGATAAACAGAGAAATATTTTTTACCGTGTTGTTCGAAGAACAAAAAAAATAAGTTTCCATAAATGATAACAATCAAGAAAAGATGAATCAATTGTTGGAAACAATTGCATTTTATCTATTTGTTTATATCAATAGAATGAACAATGTAAGAACATCATATATTGTATGCATATAATATGACTTGATCTAAACAGTTCAAGTAAGTGATAAGAAGAAATATTTCATGACTGATAGGGAAGCAAAAAAAAAAGGAAAAGAAAAGATTGTCATTTAAGCTGACACTTTCGTGTTTGTCGATCCAAACAGAGAATATAGAACATAATCTCAATCAGAGTAGCAATGAGCAATCATCAGAAGAAGAAGAAAAAAGAAAAAGAACTACTACACGTGAGTACCAATTCGTCCGGCAAGTGATTCTTGAATAAAACAAGAGGAACACAACGTACTATTACTTCTAAATTAGTCAACGCATAGAAACGACAAGACTTGTTGACAAACTATTATTCTCTTAGATTTTTTTCTGCCTTCATCGTTTTTTTCTCGTATGCTTTTTCCTTTTTTTCCCTATTCCATAATCTGTTTCTAGTGATATATAGATATGTGTCAAGCTCGTTAGTTGATCATTTCTTCATAGGAAAACGAATTAGCACCTATAGAGTTTCGCGTTAATGCTCTTTTCTGATCATATATCAATCATTTCGTTGATTCAGTCTTATACCAAAAGAGCTACTCATAAACAAGAAATTGATCGTCACAGGGGATCGCTTAGACATTCATGCTAACCTCTCAAGTCGCTTATTGCTATCCTTGTTTGTCCCAAAGCACCATCTTACTTTGCTCCATCTCTCTCTCTCTCTCTCTCTCTCTCTCCTTCTTGTGCATTTTTCATTTCCGCTATAATGATGCGAAACGACGCATAAGGGGTTCAATGACTGTGCCTCGTACGGTATGAAAGCATCATTGTAATAAACCCGTTGTATTGAGATGCGGAAAATCGTTATGAACAATTCTTTTTTTTGGTTCTATATTTTTTTCTTTTTCTCACATATATGTAAAAGCAAAGCTCGAGAACATTTTTCGATGTTTTCTTCTCTCTCTCTCTCGCTTTACTCTACAGATCTACTATGGTGACTATTACTTATTAGAACCTCTTCAATAGAAAAGAAGACGGAAGATGAACGCATAAGAATAAGCGAAGCAGTTGGATGCGATTGAAAAACAATTAGATCTTGACGGGTCTATTCAATGAATGAACGTGACACTAACCTGAACAAAAAAAATGAAATGATAATGACGTTCTTAAGTAGAAGAAAAAAAAAGAAATTTGAATCCATATAATCGATGAGATTTAACGCTAAGAAATGATTGATAAGATGAACTTGACTGAATGTGTTAAATGTTAAAGAATTGTACTTGAACTAATTTGACAAAATTAGCAACAAGATAGTTAATACTTTTATTCCTTGTCATTGCTTTATATATTTATATATTTATTTGAATAATAAGGCAAAAGAAAAGTAATACTCGATGTTATAATCAAAATATCAGTTAACGAGAAAAAACAGATCAACCAGTGGATGCTCCAGTAACTCCTTTCTTAACTTCAACCAGAAATGCTTTCATACCAACATATGTTTCATGACACACACCAGGTGCTTGATCTGGTGGTAAAACAAAACCAACTGATGATTCGGCTAATTAATTAATATCAAAAGTAGAAATCTTTATTTTCATGAAAAAAACATCTGTACTTCGTGATGGTGGAAGTTCAATTGTATATGAATAAGGAATTTTTAAATCATCATAAGCCCAATCAACAGTACTACCAGTAGCAATGTCTAAACAAAAAAAAATAAAATAAAATAAATTTGATTTGATGAGACATAAATGAAAATAACTTACATAACACATCAGCAATACCACCAATCTCATATGTTCTTTTACTATTTACTCCTTTAATAGCATTTGCACCAGCTTGTGCTGCTGATACATGTTGTTGATAATTAGGTGGATCATTATTTGAATAACCATACTAAATATTTTTTTTGTTCGAAAATATTTTCATAAAAAAAGAAATGACTTTACCGGTGTTCTAAAAAGAAATTAATCAATAAAGACTAAAAGAGAAGAAACAAAAAACTAAAGTTTACTTACAACCACAATTGTCCATATGAATGAAAAGACATATACATATCCCATGAACCTATTTTCGACGTGAGAAAATTAATCACATTTTTTGTTTCAATTTCACTTTGGTTTGATGAACCTTTCACAGTGGACAAGAAAAAAAATATATATATATATATATATATATAGAAATATCAAAATTGGTTTGTCTTGATAGTTACCACCATATGTTTCACTGCATGGAGAGTTGCTAGCACCACCTAACAGAAAATAAAGCAGAAACAAGCAAGATTAAAAGGCATATTTGTCCGAATCGTTTCTCTGTTATACCCTCCATCCATTTCCTTGGATAATTACGATTGAGATCAACACCGTAACAATTAAGAAAATTATTGTTTCTACGATTCTTACGCCATAATCGAGTCTAAATAATTTTTTATTTTTGTTATCAAAAATCATATTATAAAAACAATGAAGCTTACCTTACTTCGACTAAATTCATATCCTTAAATAATAAATAAACATAAAATAAAATAAATTTCAGCTATAATTAATTTCTTACCATCAGGATTAAGTACTGGAGCAATATAAACAGTCCAATAATTGAGTAAGTCTCGAATTGTAGGATTATTATTATTATAGTCTTCAATTAAGTTATCAATCATCCAAACACACATAGCTGGTGTAATCCATTCTAATGTATTGAAAAAAAAATAATTAAAATGAAATATTTTTTAATATATATTTTTTTCTTCATATACTTACCTCTTGCATGAATACCACAATCAATCCAAATATTTCGAGTTGATGATGGATTATATTGTATAGAAATAAGTTTCATTGATCGACCTTCATGTGAGTTGCCCATATCACGAACTTTAATATGTGTTGGATCATTATTTGCTTTCTCTTGCATATATGTTACTATATCATTGTAACTAACATATTTTCCCACAATATCTATTTTAGTTTGTCCAAGCCAACGACTTTCGATTTGTCTCATAAAATCATCTCTTTCAATTTGTTGTCGTTCAATATCAATAATTGTTTGTAAATCATCAACAACAACATTAAATGGTATTGAATATTGGTCAAATTCTGAAACGTATTGACCAAACTCATTTGCATTTATATGGATATCAACTGGTTTATTTGGTCTTGTGACTTCAGTCCAAAAATCGAGTGAAGAATTCATTTCGAGATCTTGAAGATACTTTATATGTTCATCAGTTAATGGTTCTACACGAACTAACTTATCATTAACATATAAACGATTGGCTTCATTACATATAACTATAGATATAAGAATAAAAACAAGAAAAAACGGTCGATTCATGATGATAAACAACAAAACGAAATAAACTGATGATAATACATCAGATTATATAGATATCAACATAGTGTATTTTTTCCTTTGTCATCCTTAACCTTCTATTGATTAAAGATTATATTGTATGATAAAGTATTGAGTGGGTTATGCGAACATTTACCAGATGTTTGTCCATGGTCACAGTTCGATTTTTGTTGTTATTTTTTATTTTCTAGGTTTAACTTTTCTTTTTTTGAAGATAACAAAACAATAAAATAAGAAATGAACTTTTTTTCTTTGAAAAAGATTAGATTCAAAATATTACAATAGATATACATAAATTATTCATGTGCTAATGTATCAGATATTGGTGCAACAGGATCACTTGTAGCAAGTGGTCTATTTGAAGTTGATTCATATACTGAAACATCATCATGACTAGGTAATAATTGCGATCGTTCACTTGATATTGGTGGACGTGTTACAAATCGACGAAATAAATGTTCCCATACACCATTATATATACCCATACCGATAACCAAAACAATAAAGCCTAAATTAATAAAAGAATACATTAATAACATTTTTAAAAAACCTGTTTTTATAAATTAATCCAAAAATAAATATTCTAACCTAATAATTGTAGCAAATAAAAAGCTTGCCATTGTAATGCTAATGATAAAATCCAAATAATTAATGTTCGACCACTATCAAGTACCATACGTGTTGTTGCTGATAATTCTTTCGTTACGCTTATACCAGCAAAATTAAAGAATGCAATAGATAAAATATTTCCTAAACAACAAAAGAAAAAGAAAAAAAAATTCAACATACATACAAAGATCGATAAAATTTTTAATTTTTTTTTTTGTTTGAACATTTCCTTACCAATAGTTGCAAGAATAATAATCCAATTACCACGCATTTGACAAAATGCTGATGGAATATCTTCAAGACGATGATCTGGACCAGTATTTGATGTTGGAACAATAATAAAATAAAACTAATATGCAAAAAACAAAATCCAACTTATAAAATTCATATTACAATCATAAAAATATTACTGGTATAAGAAGAAGACCAAGTGTACAAAATCCAAATATTCCTTCCCAACCAACAGCTTGTAAAGGTGGAATATTATATTTACCAATAAAACGTTCTTCATAAACTACCTATAGATATATATATATCAAATAAACAATACATTTTTTTTTTGTTTTGTTTTTTTTTCATTCATACTTGAAAACTAGTAAATAACATTCCAACAAGTATAAGTGCGTCACCTGCAATTTTTTCTGCATTTGTATGACTACCTTCAGGATGTTTTGAGAATAAAATATCTGATAAACCAACAATAGCAAGACCAATAACAACTGTAATAATGCCAAGCCAATGTTTCCATGTTAATGTTTTTCGAAGAAATAAAACACTAAAATAATGTTTTGAAATAAGTTTTTGTTTTTACTTTTAAAATCAAATACCTAAGTATAGCAGTAAAAACCATAACAGAACCTCGTAACATTTGAAATGAACTTGCGCTTGTATAATTTAATGCAATATAAGATAAACATGTTGAAAGCATATCACATATTGATGCAATCCAAAATATAAATGGATTAAATGTTTGTTCACCATCAACTAAACGTGTATCTTTTTTTATTCTGATTGGCCAACAACGAACTATAGCTGATGATGCATCACCTTTATAGACCATTCGTTCAATACGATAACGTGCAGTTGAATACCAAATAAATTTAAATACTAATAAACATAAAAATTCACCCAAAAACATACCAACACCCTAAATTTTCTTGTCATTTAATAGATATGATAGAAAAAAAAGTTATTTACTTGAAAAAAAGGATGTTCATATGTAATATTTGTACCAGATCCATCACAAAAATGAGATGTTTGTCTAAATAAATAGTAAATGTAAAACAAACAAAAAAAGTTTATAAAATAAAAAGAAATCAAATACCGATCAGCCCATTTTGTTGACAAAGTATTGATACTTCCAGTTATTAACATCAAACCGGCTAAAAATAATTGATAAGGAGTAAAAGCCATTATTATCTACAAAATGAAAACAACAATAGTATTCAACATTTTTCTGTATTGTCCTTATTTTCATTCCATCCTGATAACTTTTAGTATTGTCTTAGTATGCTCTGTTAAACAACATTAACCACAAGTAGATTGTCTGCAGACATGTATGCTATGCATTGATATAATCATTCTTTATCGTTTTTTATTTTTATATTTTATCAAGCATTCACACACACAGAACAATAAAAAGTCATGCGAAGTTTCGTATTACTACTTATGTTGAAGAATATATTTGATTTCGTTTTTGATCATTATCAAAATGATTATAATTATATAAAAATCTTCGATTATTTCGTTCTAAATTATTAATTAAAGATGAATAACGAACATGAGATTGATTAGAAGAATTATTATTTTTAATAATCGATATTTTTTTCATTTGCTCTACAATTATTGTCTTTCTATTCAAATAATTATCATTGAATAGAATATATCTATAACATTATATTATTCATATGTTTGATTAGTTTTGAAATACTTACATAAATAGAGGTAAAGTTAGAAAATGAAGAAAAAAAGCAAGAATAAATATTAACCTCGGAGAAGTACTTATTGTATATGAATAAAGAATATTAAATACAAGTGATCCAATCAATGCATCAATCGATTCGAGTGATGCGACAATAGAAAAGATTTTACCTTCAGAGAAAAAAAGACAGAAATAATATATTTTCTTTTTGCCTCAAAAACCAATAATAAATACCTTCTTCATTAAGATTACAAATTTTTGAAATATATGATCGAACACCTACAACAACATACGATGATAACATACCAAATAATGGGACTAAAAACAAAAACTTATTTTCTAAAACAAAGCAACAGAGATTTCATTTGATATTACTCATAAAAATAAATGTTTTTGAATGATTCATAACATAAAGAAAATCACTCATACATTTTGATAATGTACCAAGAATTGCACATGCCATATCACTTATATTAAATAGATATCGTAATATTGGTAATACAATTAATAAACCAAGACCAAGACCGAATGATTTTAAACCACGAAATATTCCATAAAGACTTTGTGAAAAAGATAATGGTGATTTTTTTAAATAAAGATAAATAACTGATGATTCACCTAGATTTCAAAATAGAAATAAATTTTTTTTTTTTATTGAAAGAAAAAAAAAATCGATAAAACAAAATTGCAAAGTGAAGTTCATTTATTTTATTTACCGATGCTTGTTAAACTAAATTGAAAAATTTTATTAAGATATCAGTAGATATTTAACTAAGGAAAGTTTACTAATTTTCATATTTCTTATTTACATACTCTCCGAAAATGATTTCATCTATGATGATTTTGATGTAGGGAACTGCAAAGTGGTCCCGGTCCCGGGACTAAAATTTGACTTTCTACGGGACCGGAACCGGCAATAAAAATTTTTCATACTGGTCCCGGTAAGTTTTTTATGCAATATATTTTCACGTTTATTATTTTGACATGATTAAAGATTTGTAAATCAGATATTTTTATTTGCTATTTATATAAAAGTCTTTACTGATTACGAGTCTGTTTGCAAGAATCTGAATTTTCCAATTGCACAGGTTTTTGAATACATATAAAACAACCAACACAACACTATATACGTAAATTTAATTCATTCATTCTTTGATCATTCCTTTATTTAAGTCTTATCAGAATCTGATAAGTACACAGATCCTAGAAAAAGTTGCTCGATTTTAGAAATGAAGCCATTGTCAAAGATCGGGACCGGGACTAAAAAAAGCGATTTTGCAGATCCCTATTTTGATGAATATGTTACATAATGATTTTTTTCTATTACATTAGATATTAGTAATTGTTCTATTTCTCTATAGTTCGTAAAGAAAAGAATTCAAAAAGTTAAGATAGGTTTTAATAAATATTTACAACATGTATCATTCTTTTTGTTGGAAATATCCGATTTTATCAATGATGATTTATTATTACAGATGCATATATATCTCTCTTAGATAAGAAATACTTAAAATATGGTAGATATAAGTTACTATTGTTTGCTTCACACACACAACAAAAGCGTCTCGAAAGTCAACAGAAGAATAAAACACAAACATTTTTTTTGTAAGTTACATAAATTTTTTACAATTTAATTTTAATATCTATCTAATATATATTTCAAATAAGATTTATTATTCTGTAATTATTAGAAATATATTTAGTTTTATTCATAATGGAACTTGATTGATATTTAAAATCATAGAACGAAAATCATCATTTGAATTTGAATAAAGATAGAATATCTTTTTAAATATAATCGATTTCTTGTCAATCTTGATTTGTAATTTGATGGCTGAAATTTAACTCCTATCAAAACAATGTTTATTTTTGTGTTTCAAAACACCAAGTATTCATTAAAAAAAAAAATATCTTAAAGAAGTCAAGATCAATTTAAACCGTACCAAATGTTTTTTGAAACATTCTTTTCAATATATTGCTTAATACAGTAACGTGTTAGACTAGAAAAAAAAATATGCCTCTTGACTAAATATGAGTGGGACCATTTTGTCCATATCTAGTTATGACTAATAATTAACTTACATGCTACATAATAAACCGAATAGTGCTAAAAGAAGATATCTTCTTTGATTGACTTCTCTTTGCTTAAATAAAACACGACATGAATCTTTAATATCATTACAAAAAAATAAAATTTCATAAAAATTCTTGTATAATTTAATATTTTCATTTGGATGAATAACTTCTTTAACATAAAATATAATATATATAATATTAATAAAATGAATAAAAATAATAAATAAAAAACAATATTGAAAATTTGTTAAATCAATTAATATTCCACTTAATATTAAACCAATTGTTGAACCAAACATTAAACATGATTCAATAATTGCAATACGTTGTGTACGATTTTCAATTGTTGTTATATGTGATATATAATTATAAATAATTGAAAACATTGTTGATGTTGAACCAAATAAACTAAGAAATAAATTTGATAAAAATAAAATTTCTAATGATAAATTATATTTTATAATTGATACAAATAAATTAACTATAGTTGATAATATACAACCAATACTTGCAAATATCATTGGAATTTTATGAGAATATTTATCTGACCATATACCACATATTATAGCAATAAATATTGATGGAATAGAATAAATAAAATTAAAATACATTACATAAATAGATGCATATTTTTGTATAATATCTTCCATATTTTCATAGATATATGTTTTATTGGTTTTAATTTCATTTATTGAATTACATAATGATATATTATATAGTTTATAACAAACTTGTCGATAAAGAAGTGCTTCATCTGTTGGAATATTTACATAAATTGCTAACATATAAAGAAAAACAACAGGTTCTATACTAATAGAATTCCACCAAGGAATAGTTTTTTTCGATGTAAGATCTATGTTTACTTTTTTTTCATTTGATCTTATCATGATTTTCAAACATATCAAATATCATAGACATGTGATGCTATAAATACACACATAATCAATCAATCAAGGATTCGTTATTCTTTTGAATTGAAGATTTTCTTACAATTAGAGGTCGCTATTCAACAGAGAAAATTACTCTTTTTTATTTATATCAAATCAATGACAAATTTTAACAGTTTCCAGAGAATTATAATATGTATACAGGTGAATGAATATGAGACAATTTATCTTGATATTTCAACAGATAATACAAAAATAAAACGACGGTAGAAGAAAATCTGTCTCTAACTAATTCTCATGAGGGAAGTCTCACAACTGATTAGTTGACTTTAAGTCAAGACTATGCACATCATATAGACACTAATAAGCTATGGATACCTTGAGAAGAGCTCAGACTCTTAGCTGATTGCTGTAGACATCATGCATTTATACGGTACTTTTTCAAAGCCAAAGCCACGACCCCGTTGGAACATAGAATTACGGCATTCATTTTGAAAAAATACCGTAGAAATGCAGTATCTTAACACTGAACTTTTTTCAGGGTATTCATAACTGATTAGGACCTACATGATGCACATAGCCCTTACTGCAAAGTGATTAATTAGTTGAGAAACTTTCATTCATTAGATATTAGTTATGAAATGGCTAACAATCAATTAATTTTCTTTGTATAATGTTTTATTACATATTTCAGAGTCAATAATCATTTATATTATTTTCAAAAACTATATTACACAATAAAGAACGTTATAGACTGTTGGATAGGAGAATTATTTACAACTAGATAATCCTAATATTAGATATAACTATATGTGTTGACATACATAAAACCAATTTTATTCGTTGAAGATCATTTATTCAGATTTTTAATAAAAGGTATAATGTTTATGTTTCTTACTAGTCAACTGAATGATAGGAGAAATCGCTAATGAATTACTAAGACTTTTGAGATAAATATGAATTGTATAAGGTTTATTTATGATCTGTGTTTTAAATTTTAAGTGATGTTGTCTCTTTTTGCTTTCTTTCTTTTTTTTGCGTTTTCAAATTTCCAGGTATCTTCTGTATATAAAGTGTGCGTGTTTTAAAAGAGCAAAGCGGTATAAGTAGAATTATTCTTAACAGTTTTCATCTACATCATCTTTATCTTTATTGATGGTGTGAAAAAAATTATTATTATGAGCACTAAATAATATGTCGTAAAGTATCATAAGATCCTTGAAAAACAAAAAGAACAAACTAATCCCAAATATTTTTAGAGTTTTAATGATGGCTCTCAATGCTCGTACATGATATCATAAATAACAAGAAGATTTACTGTTTCTTTCTTTGTTCACCTTCTGATGTGTATTGAGTTAAAAGGGCTCGATATAATCGAATCATGGATATTCATAGTTTTATGACAAAATCCATTGCTACCAAGTGTACAATAATTAGAGTACAAGCAATATTTTGATGCACTTGATTATTTCAATCATCACAAAGATTCCAATGAAATTAGATATAGAAGAGATTATAATAAATAATAATTCATAATTATATTTCAGAAAAACGGATCAAAATCTTTAAAATTGTATAGTACTTTCTTAAAGCATCTTCGCATACATCAATACTCAATTCTAAAAATCGTAAAATCCTAGCGTAAAATCTGCTATTGTATGATTAAATATAGTTGTTGATAATTAAATTACTCATTTTATATAAAAAAAAAAAAGTTCAATTGAAAACGGACATGATTCAGTTTCTTTTTTGCCCCTATTCCGCACTAATTAAAGAGAATGTCGTTCAGACTCTCTGTTTAGAACGATAAACTATGAAGAAAAGTCAATATAATGCTATTAACAAATACCTATGTGAGGAGTAATAGAGGAATAATCAGCTAAGTTAGAACTGCGAAACAAACGGTAGGAGAAATTTTGTCAATGGTATTGCAACATCTCAAATGTTGTCAATTTTTTATTAAATTTGTAGCTGTCGTTCTGTGCGGCTTCTATCTCATTTCGGTATCTAGTAGAAAAAAGTGAAACAGTGAAAGACATTGAAAGAAACTTTTGCAAAGTAAAGTCACTCAACGTTTGTGTGAAGCACAACCATTTCAAATGTACATCAGTGCAAATAAAAACAGCAGAGCTATTTCTTATCGTTTTGATAAAATATTTTGGATTGTCTTTGACTACCTGTCGCGTTAGATAAATTTGTAATTTCTGATGAAATTTGATGTAGAACATGACTTTCAACTTTTTTTAATGTATGGACTAATACAGAAACACTTGCTTCGTTTCATCTGTCCTTAATAAATTCTTTGTCTGTTAAAAAAGACACATCAATATTTTTCTCTGTTGAACTCGTATTAGTTGTCGCATCCACTAAAAAAAGGCTCTTGCTAAATGTTGTTACTTTCACGTTAATAAGAGAAATGATTTTATTTTAATAAATATCAAAATATTTAACAATTTTTTTTATCGATAGAAATATCTTTTGAAATCTTCTATCAAAATACTCAACAGTTTGGTGTTATTTGATCGAATCTCATAGTGCAGAGTATTCATAATAACAACTTTTGTTACGATCTAACGGATACAATGTATAAGAAATAGAAAAATCAAGTTTTTCTTGCCAAAAGATAGTATATTTGTATTTGTACTAGTAAGCCTTGAGTACATAAAAGAGGATGTTTATTAAGATTGTTGTAATTTACTTGTGTGAAGACTACTGCCTGTATAAAGAAAATCAATATTTTTGAATTGTATAACTGCTAGAAAAGAGGATGCATCATCTTCTGCGGTGAATAAAGTTTGTACACCTGTCGTATGCTCAAAAGAAGTTTTGATTTTACAATTTCGACTGATTCAATACATGAAAAAAAACTATGCACCTTAATGAGCTGCTTCAATAGGAGATCATTTTTTCACAGTTGTGAATGTCTTTGATATAATGCGTTTATGTTTGTGAATGCGATTTAGTAAAGGTGTAGGTGTGCATGTTTTCTCTTTACCCATACTCACGGTCTATACCCAAAACATGGATTTCTCGAAGGCTTCAAAAAACCTGTCGGTTCTCACATGTGGTCAATATCTTGTGCTATCTCGTTCATAAAAAAATGCACCTTCGTATTATGTTTTAAAAGTTTCTGCTTGGTAGATAAAAGACTAAGAGAGTTTTAGTGATCTCATTTCTATTTTGCAAAAACAAAAAAAAAACGTTAAGAGATTCACGGTGTCTGAAAAGCTATACTATGGAAATGAGACCTGAAACAAATGATAAAACTTACTTTTTTGTGTATTAGCTCACAACCTTCAGTATCGTAATAGGATAATATAGACAACTCTGACTGACATGACTATGGGCTAGTTTTCCAAGAGTCTTGCATAATAGTCCTTAAAGAACTCATCGAAAGTTTGTTTTTACTTTATATCTACTCGCTTCACTTAGACTTTCGAATGCAGAATACTGTGTGTGGATAGCTACTTATGTTCCAGAGTTATTCATATGAAACTTACCGTTCCCTTTACATTGAATTCTTCGAATATTCTTTTGATTTCTCCATCTTAATCAAGCTCTATATGCTTTAAATAACGTCAATTATAATCTATATTGCAAATCAATAGATATTACGGTGAAACATATCGTGTTACCTGTCATGAAATTATTTGAAATAAATAATACTTATTATCTTCCGATTAACTTCAATCTAAACTAATGTGTTATGGATTCTTTTAATTTCTAGATTTAAAACCAGCTGAAAGTCAAAATATTGAAAATATATCAGCTTTTTATGTGAAAATTCAAAAGATAAAAAGAATACAGCTGCACAAACAAACCAAAAATATTAATAGAGAATGTAAAAAAATAAAATTTACAATCAAGCATGGAAGAAAGTAGTAAAAATCAAAAATATATGTCAGATCAAGCAGCTCATGATTAGAAAAGAGTGTTTGAAACGGACAAAACAATTCATTTACCGTTTTCAAACTCTGCTTGTAGGGCATTGGAATATTTTTTTTTTGTTTTATGATTCTCTTAATTTCTGCACTTCATACTCTATACGATTAGCCATTCTGATTTCAATATCAGCTAGTTGACGTTGTCCTTCATGCATATGTGTTTCTGCTTGTTGTTGATATTTTTTAACAACTAGTTCAACCAATTTATCGACGAGATCGTCGACGTTACTATAACGTGTTATTCCATCGACTAGTTTAGTATCATCTTCAATCGTATAAATTAATAGATTGTTTGAACCTAAACGTTGTATTAATAGTTGAAATAAATCATTGTTTCTTGTGAATAAACATGCAGGCTTCTTGATAAGCTGAATGATTTTATCGATTGATAAATTATCGATCACGGATATTGTTCCTGGCGGCAGAAATATTTGAAGAAAGTGTAAAATACTTGTCACTGTCAAGTTCATAGCTGTTGAGAGATCGATAAGAACAAATTGAATATCATCGACAAAAGCTACACAAAAAACAACATCGAATGATAATTACTGAGAGTTTCTTATACCTCCCATAGTGTATATTGCAATATCAAAATTATGATTTGCAGATATGTATATTCTAATTGGAAAGAGAAAACAATTCTCAACAGATACACCCACTCTTTGTACAATATAATGACACTGTGCGCTTATGTATTTTTTAGTTTAACTCACATCAAGTTAAGAAGCGACTCGCTTTCTTTTTTTGTGCTAATTATTTTCGGTATTTGTGTAGAGAAAATGAAACTGCATAAACTTTCTAATTTTTTACCAACGCAATCATTTGCATAGAGCTACGACTTTGACAAGCTTCATGCATCTTTTCGACTGTCTATCGGTGTAGAATTTAGAGAAAATTTCAAACAAATGATTCTACTCCGTCACTAGTTTGTTCTCATGTATGCACTTGACGCAATAAATCTCACATTCAGAATCAACGTGAAAATCTTCACTGGATCACATGTGTTTTATCAAAATCAATTTTACATGGAAAATGCAGTTTTAACTCATTTCTTCTCAATAGTTTTGTTCTAAGATTTAGCCAGTCATTATCTATGAAGCCAATTTTCTATTATAAATGGAATCTGCTAGAATGCATGTGATTCGATGCAGAGTCTCACTTTGATTCTGAATATGTTGTCGATTGCTTTAGGTGTATATTAATATGTGCGAACATAGACTAGTGATAGTAATTATTTATCTATCAAAGTGTGTATTGTTATAATATCATCTTGTAACTTTATATACTGTTTTGTAGCTTATTAAATGTGTTTTTTTTTGTGCAATGTCTTTTACAACATACATGGAAACTTGTTTTTTTTTTTGAAAATCTAGCTAGAATAAAAATTCTACTCCGCTCACAACATAGATCTTTAGAAAATACAGATGGACATGTAAAAATGCACTTAATAAGAAAATATCAAAAGTTGTACCAGGCTCGAATAAAAGACGACCCGCATTTTCGTCCCTGTTTCTTCGAAATACTAAGAGCGATCGAGCTGAAAGTTATTTATAAGGACTAGGTAATTTTTGTTTGGAGTCGAGAGGGAATTCTTCTATTTTTTTTACCCTGTTGTCCTCGAATACAAAGATCAGATTACGGTATGTATCATAAAAAACGCTTATCTTCTGATTGAAACATAGTTTGTAAAATTTACCAAAAATCATCAGAAAAGTGATTTTTTTCCCTGCTAAATAGACTCTAGTATCTGTGAAAAATTTTCAACTCAATTAGACGTAGCATATTTCAGAAATGGAGGCGGCTCAGCACTTTCTAGTGAAAAAATTGATTTTGAGAAAAATGCAACACAAAATTGAATTTCAATCTTTTTCTAATTATTCATGGTCTGTCTCTTGGCATCAAAGTCTGCTGTAAGTTCTAGACTACAGTGGGTACAATGCAAATGTTTTTAAAGGCAGATACTTCTCCTAAAAGTGACCTGCAATGAGAAAAATTCAAACACTGTTGGGAATAGGAGCCTCAAAAAATTCGATTACTGGAAGCTAGATGAAGTGAAAAAAGTTCTTTTACTGCAGAACGCTAGAAAAACTTGAGAGTACTTATAGGAATCCAAAATCCAAAATCAACATTAGTGTTTTTAAACTTTTTGGATAATTAATTTATGAGATAGTATGTTTAACAACTTACCTATAGTCTCATCTGTTCTTTGATCATCTTTTAAATTCTGCGACTTTTCAATGAGACCATTTGGACCTTGAAGCATTTCGAGACACCTTCTAACTGGAGGATTCGGGCTATTTGCATCATTAGCATGTGTTTCCAGTGTTTCAGCAGTTACGAAACATTTTCGAGCACTTTCACCATCGTATACTGCTAGATATGAACGTCCCAAACGAATAAATTCCTGTGAAATATCGCGAGTTAGACGAATCAGCAGATCAGTTTCATGGTCAAAGATTTTCAAACAATGTAAATAGTCCATAGCCCAGTCAAGGTAATTAAGTATATTAGCACAGAAAATGTAGTAAGAATAAACACGTGGATAATTTTTATAAATCAATGGAACTGCATCTTTGCCCAATGATCCTGAAGAGATCAAAATGATTCTCTTGTCAGTTTCATTTTGAATCAAAGCCAAAGCATCATCTATATTCGAAACAAACTTGATCGGAGCGACTTCTTGCTCGAAACATAATATAAGATTATTAATAGAATTCGGTGGTAAACCATTAATCGGTTTAAGACTCTTTTGAAATTTCTCTTTGAAAGTTTGATATTTTCCAAGAATTCCTATATGAAGATCAAGCCAGATACAATAAATACCATTCTCATCGCTCATCTCTACCAATAAAAATAATTGTTATATGTACTAAAAAGATTACAATACGCATGTAAATAAGTTTGATTCAGTATAGTTTTTGATAATTAAAGTAAAAAATGTCTATGGACTTGCAAAGCTTCAATGTCAACAATTCATTTAAATTAACTACAAATTAAGTAAAACTAACTTGTTGAAATAGCTGCTCAGTGTAATGATAATAATATCGAATAGAAAGCAGCATTCACTTTATTTTGAAACGATTAGATTTTTTGTCCAATGGAATAAGATCTTACAAGATCATACATCTCACTTTTTTTTTTACTTAGGTAAAATATATTGAGAACGTCATTTTTTTCTTCACTCGTTCTTGGATAAAGTTCATAGTGTAACATTTGCTAGTCATGATCTACAATACTGGACAGAATTATAACATTTTCTGCCGATTTTCAATCGTTTAGCTATTTACATGCAACGCCAGTGTTATCAGTGAATTTGTTTAAAAAGATTATTCTAAGCTTTGAAATTGATTTGGTACGCTTTCTGTATTCCATCTATGCATGGTTCTTTTTCTTTTCTTTCTAATAAGGTAGAAAACAAGAAGATGATTAGTAGTTGTCGTTTTTTTGTCAAGTTGAGCGTTTTGTTTGCGTACCAGTATTAGAAAGAAAAGATAAGAAACCGAACTACGTATAGTTGTGTCTGTTGTTGTAATTTCTGCACTAAAGAAGGTAGTTCGGTCTTATAGAGCTTCGGCTTGTACAGAACAATAGCATTATACAAATTTTTGTTTTGCATCTTGCTGAATTTTCACGTTTTTTTTTTCTCTGAATCTGTTTGAGTCTATCCCATTTCTTCTTGATACATGTTAGATTTAATTTTTTGTTGCAACTTTTCTCATTAAATCTACAATTTCCTCTCCTTTCTGAATGAGGTAGATAATATTGATGGAAGCTTCGAAGATATGCAACCAAAAAATTAGATTGAATTGAAAAAACATGATCGAACAAGGTCGGACAGATTTTCGTCCACTTTGATCTAGTCATACATATTTAAAGATCATTTTGTTTTTTTTAAACAATGAATACACTCAACAGTAGATTTTATAGAGTGAAATTGCTCATCAAAGATTGAAATAAATGAACCTAAGAATAAACATAAAATTGATACTTGAAAGATGAGAATTTTATGAACTGTGTGCATGTTTCAAAGTTGAACGAGCGGAAACTGATCTCTGAGAAAAATATCCAAAAAAATTTATTTGAAAGAAAGAGTTAAACAGATGTAAAATAAATAAATGGCCACTATCACTCAGTAATCTCGAGATTATTATAAATATGGTGTTTTTCTGATATACGTCTGTCGTTAAAAATTAACATATCTTTCTATTATAAAACGTATCATAGATGAAAATTGTACTAAGATTTGAAATAAACAATCCTCCATATATTGCTGAATTTATCATATAATACTTAAATTATAAGATATCTCTATGTCATTTGGTTACACATTCACAATCAATACTTCCGTGTACAACAATTAGATGACCTTGATTAAAACTTATAAACTGTTATTCTTGTCTCCAAGTTTACATCTGAAAATTAGAACCTCTATTCTTTGGTTTCAGATCTCTCGGCTATTTTTCATAACAAACAATTTTCGTTCGGTCTTTTTTCTCTGTTTCTTAAGGTTCAACTGCTACTCAATGGTTATCCAAGTAGGATAATCAGAACTGTCGTTCAGCAAAAAGACTTGGAGATGATAATTAGCATTTTATCAAGCTTTTTTCAGATAAATTAACAGATGATCTGTAGTTTGTTAGTACTTATCAAGTAGAATATTTTTTCAACTTCTTTTGCTTTGCATAATTTCTTTTGGTTTTTTTCCTGATATGTTTGTAATAAAGAGGAGAACCAAATAGAGGCATCTGTTTTGGTTCCGACCTAATTTTCTAATATTGAATTCGGATTTGATTTCAGTCTCTTTTATGTGAAATCTTTTTCCTATGTTAACTCTACTAATATAAAAAAGAAGGAAATTTGCTCAAGAAGACTGGCATACTCGCTTGTTATTACAATACTGTGTTCACATAAATAGCTAAGCCACTCTAGACGGACAGTATTCGTATAAATGAAAACCTACCTTGTTTTTTATCGTTCAAGATTTTTAGAATGTTCCTAATTTCGTGCGGTTGAGTTTTTCTTCAAAAACAAGATGGGAAACTAAGTTTATCTTGGAATATCTTATATAAAATCGTTGACCTACTTTTATCGACGTTTAGACTATTTGCTGTGAGAATGTTGATTAAAAGCCTTTTGACGCACTTATTTTATATACACATCTAGGAAAATTCCTACTCTATTTTAAAATAAACATTGAATAAAAAATTTCCAAGCCATTAAAATATTTCGTTACATCATTGCAAGTGCACTCTTGTTTAGCGTACTGGTCATACTGTTTTTTTTCCAACCATATTGCAGTTATCGTTTATGACAAACACCTTTATTGCATTGTACTAGACATATCGTTCCATTTACGATGTTGGAAATACAACTATACAACTATGTATTTGGGGCAGTAGTTTTTCTTTGATATTTTGGTTTATTTATACTGTATCGATACCAAGTTACCACGGCAGGCAATCATATGATTCTGAGCATCCGCCAATCAGAACAGAATCCATCAAATACCAAAGCTACCTTCATAGTTACTAAATAAGGCACGTCACAAAAATTTTAAAAACATCTAAATACTCATACATGTACCGTGTTCTGCGAACCGACACAATCATGAAAATAGAAATACCCTTACCACAAAGAAATGATTACATTAAAATGCACTTTATAAAATATAAACCATTGTATCGTTTGAAAGACCTTGCTTCAGAGAAAACCTTGCAATCAGTTTCTCCAAACAATTTTATAATTTAAGGCATACGCTTTTTTTAATTAATAAACAAATATCATTACTATGCCAAGCAAGAACCTTTTTCCTTTTGTATACCAATATGGAAATTTCTACTGTGTGTTTTCACATTCCAAACTGAATTATGTATCTTACAGACTAGTTGGTATCTACAGGCAATATTTCAAAATATTGAAAATCTCTATTGTAACTGTTACTATAATGGCGGCATCATGCGAAAATTCTTCTAGCTCTGTACTGGAATATCGTTCAGAGAGACAGATTGGTCCAGTATCTAGTCCACTCAATTCTGCATTATGTTATGATCTTTGCCTATCCGGACAATAGTTAAGCAGATGGACACAGAAAGAACTTGGTAGTGACGGTGAAAAAGAGTTTTTTTTTTGGGGTCGACTGATTGAAGAAAGAGCTCCCTCAATTCTACATTGATTTATGCAGTAATGCTCATTTCTACGAAAGAAGCCTCCATGGAAACTTTGTACGTCTCATCATAATATATGACTTAGGGTTAGACTTCTGCGTGACCACGATTTTTCAGTCACGTCACGTTACGGTCACGTTCGTCGTCACGAAAATTTTTCGAAACTAATCACGGTCACGTCACGGTCACGGAGATTTTGGATTACTAGCTCAATTTTTGTGCTAAAAAATCAAGATTTAAATTGATTTCGTAGATTTCTTCTGTAGTAAAACAAAGAAAACCCGTAAATCAATTAAAATCTTGATTTTTTTTCACAAAAATCAGATTTTTAATATTAAAATTGTTCACCAATAAGTCACGGTCACGATCCCAGTCACGACAATTTTTCGAAAACTAGTCACGGTCACGAGAGACCATGACCGTGACCGTGACCATTTTGCAGAAGTCTACTTAGGGTCCTTTAACATGAGAGGGAATTACTTCATAATAATGAATCTTTAGGTCATGATTGAAGAGAAAAATGACCATCTCTTACTAAAAGGAAAAAACTTGGTCATCTGCTCAAATCTTCAAAGAGATTATACATCTTTGTCATCAATTTTACATGAAATTAGATTAAACATTAACACTTCCAAAATTAAATTTCACTTTAGTTCAATTTAATGAATAATTTCTTTGAAGAATAGGTAGCAAAGATAATTTATTAGGCGAAAAAGTATTCAATGAAATGGTTACGAAAAAGACAGAACGCAAAATAACTAAAATAAATGAAACAAACAAACAAATGATGAATTTTATTCAATTTACCAAACAAATTCAGTCTATAGCAAACAAAATCAGAATAACAAAGAATATCTTTACCAACATTGGCAGCACGCCATAGTAGCGCAGGTGTACATTTGCTACCCCTAATAATCCATATTCTGGTAGTTGTTAGAAGAATGTTTATGCATCATGAGACTTGTTTTATTTTCTTCTGAAGCTCTACTTTCATCATGTAATGCATGGGCGGTGCACCAAAATGAGAAGGGGCAACTATTGCTTCGTTTAGAAAAAGTTGGCAAAGCAATAACAATATATACTACTACCCTAAATGACTCATGCTTTCTTTGTATACTAGAGTAAAATTACCTAAGTCAACATACATATTCAATATGATTTTGTAGTTAATATGGGAAGATTGATCCAGTCTCACGAATATGTTTATTGTCATCCTGATAAATGCGTTTCGTGTTATCACATTCGACAAATGATTTTTTCAGTCTTACATAATCGACATTTTGGTTATTTTCGATTCTTTTCTTTCATAATCAATGATGTTAAAAGTTTTTTTCTAGATCAGAACCAAAGGTGTAAATGTAAGTCGTCTCTCATCTCTCTAAGATTGACTAAATGATACCTGACTATTTCGATCAGAAGAATTGAAGTCTGATTAACCAACATCGACTGGATGAAACGCAATAGCTGATCTTCTATGCTATTTTTTATTAATAAGAATAGATAGAATATTAGGCATTTCTTGTTTTCTTTTAAATTTACAATTCAGAGTTTTGAAATTTAAAATTAAAATTTCTGAAAAAAAAACAAATTTACCTATTATTTCACAATGAAAGAGGGTATCGACTAGCTGCTAACAATAAATTGTTAAACAATCTGACAAACAGCATCTTCGTCG